GAGAAATATATTTTAAAATTATTTGCACAAAATTATGCATGAATATGCCAATGTACATTTAGAACTTATGTAAGCAAATTTTATTATTTTATATCATTTTTTATATGCAACAATTTGAATCTTGGTCCTTCATGTTAGAGATCAAAAATAGCATCTCTCAACAATGTAAATGATAACTATATTCTATCAAAATTTAAAAAAAAATTGTTGATATATATATATAGTAGGATACATATCATCAAATATTATTCTATAAAAATCTTAAAATATTAGAAATTCAGTTTTAGATAAATTTAATGAATTGGATGAAAAATTAAGATTGAATGCATGGACTTTAAGCCACATTTTAATGTTGAACAGATTGTCATTTATTATAAAAATGTTATATCAAATAATTTATTGAGATAAAAGAACTATAAATAAGCAAAGTGTGCAATGATCAATTCCTATCATAAGTAACATATAATATTTTCCTGCCTTTGAACCGCATCTGTTAGGATGGATAATTCATGCATTGAGCCTTTCTCATCAAAAAAATCATCTGCAACCGTAATCAAGATTGCACATTTTGTTGCTTCCTTCCTTGAATATGTGTCAAGAGGGAGGCAACTTGAAGAAGTCATGACAAAATAGCAGTATGTTGTCTTTTCTATGCCGAATCCCATCATGGAGAGACCAGTATCCTTAGACCACCTTTATATACAAATTGAGATGGAGTTAAAAAAAATTGAGAAGAAAATTAAAAAAAAAATTGTGGAAATAAGGCAAAAGAGGAGGCAAATATATTTTTCTCTGTAGTATAGTAAACTACCTGTGTAATTCCTGAAGCTCCTTTCTATATGTTGATTGCCTCATCATAAAATTATCAATAGCAAGTTGGGGGAGGTCATTTTTTTGTAAGACCCTGCATTTCATTTATTTATAAAAAAAATAAACGTTCAACAACCAAATTATTTTTCTTAAGTTAACTCCTATAAATTTACCTATATGTTGCATTCTTTCCCACCCAGAAGTTGTAGATCCCTCCTCCTTCAATGCACAATATATGCTCCAAATGATCCATTCGTGCTAGCCATTTAACCTCTAACTCATGCTCAATCTGGTAAAGTATATAGGTAGGTTTCATAAGGGATTAGGAAATTTTACATAAAGAAATTGATTCTCTCTTATACTAATTCACCTCTTGTTCAAATTTTTTTAATGAATATGAAATATTGGTTTCATTTTGGGATTTTATGCTCTTGAGTCCCTTCTGCAAGATGTTCCAGGAGAACACCTCTGCCTTATCAAGATCATGATCCTCCAAAAAAGCAATATGTGATGCTTTGTAAATGCTAAGCATGGGGCCTAAAAAGAAGGCATAGTTATCTTTCATATGTGATAGCATTTTCTCATCATCAATGAACCAACAAAACCTCCCTGTACAAAGGCCATTCTCATCAAACAAATTTATTACTAGTAAAACTAAAATATGTTGATGTAATTAATCATAGATGAATAAATATTTATTTATTATGTTTTAGAAATATTAAATATTTTATTCATGTATTAAACTACTAACTTGGAGAAACTTGATAGCCATACATCCTTAATAGTCGAAATGTTAAGGAGTCTTTGTAGATTTGAAATACATCATCATCTTTATTTGGGATTTTTTATTCTTCTGCAGTCCATGTTCTAGAAAAAATACAAATATTGAAATTAATCGATGTTGATGATTTTTTTTAAAAAAAAATGCAAAGTTGTCAAATTTCAACCATCTAATTTATTTTAGTTTGTTGAAATCATATATGACTGAAAATATAATTTGTATTATTTGGAAATGAATCTACAAAAAATTGATATTTTTTCTCTATCAACCGGCCTAAATTGATGGGCAAATAATGGGAGATGCGTCATATTAGGGCAAAATTTTATTTTTGATTGGGGGGAGGGGGGCAGGGTTCCGCAATTAGCCCTCTTCTATATTAAATTTTTTTAATTGCGACACCCTATGACTGTACATATATTATTTCAGTAAAAAAATTTTAAGTTTTGTCAAAAAAATATTTTAATTTTCTATAACTTCTTTAACTTCTTTAAAAATGCAAATAAGAAATTTGGGTCAAATATTTCTACTCAATATTAAATAGAACGATTTCTGAAATTATTATAACTTGGTTTTTGGATGATATAAAATCCTGCCCATAAATGGGCTTTAAAAAAAATTTATCAGTTATAATATTTTTCAACCTCATTAAATAATACCTCCGTGAGTCCGTGTTGGCAATTGGTAAGCATGTGTTGTAGGTAAAATTTGTAAGTAAGATCTCTAGTAATCATGTAAGCACAAGCAGTCACTGACGGAGATCGAAAAAGTAGTGTTGAGCCAAAGTTCCCAAATGCAATCTCTCTCATCACAAGTCTCTTCTTCGTAATTATGTCTTCGGCCTCTTCACTTTTAAGCTTTTTTTCATTCAATTTAAATTCATAAAAAAAATTCATTATTGATTAGTTGAGCAGAAAAGACTTTCAAGCCTTTTGCCTTTGCAAGCTCAGCCATAAAAAACCACCTACGAAAATGAGCATGCCCAACTTTGTCACCACCCTCTTCTCTCTTTCTCATATTCATCAATTCTTTCTCCATGTTATCTTGGAGAAATCTCAATCCGACAAATGTACAAATGAGTATAACAAATTAATTCATTCTTATATCTACATAAATATAAAATACGTGTTACAACTAATATAGAGTTCTTGTACCTTTGTTTATTCTATGAGAGAAATCATTACTCTCCCAAGTTTTTAGAGCGATTAAGCAAGCAAGAGTGGCCAAAAGATCATCATTTCTACATTGATGCTTATAATCTATAAGCTCGTGATGAACATTATTAATACCATGTTGCTCGTCGAACCAAAAGCCCAGAGCATTTTGACTGGGTAGGATCCAGTCCAAATACTCCGAAAACATTGGGCTAGTTGGTTCATCAGGGTCAGGCACCATGGCAACCCAAGCTGTCTCATATGCAGAGACGGGTAAGAGGGCGAAGAGGTTGGCCAATGGAGAGAAGAGCTCCTCCTTCATCCTCTCGATCATTTTTGCGAACCCCAATGATTGCTCCATCACTAGTTTTTTATTTTTTTTTTGGTTAAAACTCACTCATGGGGCCTACGCGTTAATATTCAAAAAATGGTTACAAGGTCCTTAGAAGGAACCTTCAGCTCACTACTGCTCGGAAGAGCTACAAAAAAAGTAAAATAAAAAACCTATGAGCCGATGGTTCCTTAGCCTACAATTACAAAAATAATTCAAAATTCCAACCGGTCTGTGAGTCAACAGAACCCAAAAAAGGAAGCTAATGATGATTTCATTCCGCTCAGTCTTCCTGCAAAAAAACCAATAACAACAACCAAAATTTGTGAAATTCCAAAATAAACATACCTTGCAGTCATCGCATAAATTGTCGTAACAAGTGAATAACATCCTGCAGGTATAACTCACGAAAATAGCATAATAATCATATAATTTAACATCAGTATTCCCCAAACAACAAAGGTAAATCCATTTGTACTAACTTTCCCAAATATTAGCCGCAGCATAGCACGATAACACCACCTCCCCCAACATAAAAAGACGAGCAAAAATATTCTTACCAAAACCACCATACCATTGGAAATAACACAAGGGAACAAACGAATCAAAGACATTTCCAGTAAAAATTCCCTCATAGAAGAAACAAGAGCATACAAAATCATAACCTGCCGCAGCAACCGCATGATAGAACTCAGCCAAATTAAAGAGCACAGTGAAATGGCCAAACCTCCGCCAAAAACAACCATCAACCATCAAAAAGAGCGCAGCA